GTCTCCTGCGCCAACTTGCACATCTGCTTCGCCGAACTCCTTTTCGTGCGTTCCTTTGTTCCCTCTCTTTACTGCCCGTTTTGCTACGTGTATGCATCCTTCTGCCCATCCAGTGCAAGAGGGGAGTTCAGTGGCTGTCTGGTCCTTGTTGCGGCCCAGACGCAACGACTTCAGCGATGACCTGTGCGAGATTGTAAAATGGAATCAAGAAAAGTGCCTGCAAGCATATATGGCACGACCAATGTATTTACATGGCCTGTGTCCCTGTCGATGGCGAGGATGATAGGCGGCATGGTCGCGAGGGTAATGACAATGGGGTGGAAGGAAATAGACAATAATGGGGGGAGGAGAGGATGCTCACTGCGCGTTACGAGTCACGGCGCGTGCGGAGACCTGGAAACAAGCTCGCGGGGCTGCTGCAGATCACGCGACGACGAACATTAAACGACTTGACGACCCGTCAAAAGAAATGACACCCCCTTGTCGGGCAAGTGCGCACGCCGCGCCACTGGGCGCTCTCACAACGCCGCTGCGTTCGCCGAACTAAAGGCCTCAGACTGGTTTCCAAGACAGCTCCAGTCTGGCCGAAAAGCGTTCCAAGATTTCCCTTCGACGCCACCAACGGCTTTAAGCCTGTCACATACAACAAGAAGCGCGCCAATTCGCCGGACCAACGGGCCAGAGGCTTGCTATGATCACCGGTGGGCGGCTTCGATGTTTCTGGTTCGCGCGCGCGTGGCACCTCCTGCGGGCCTCAGGGCGAAACATACCCTGGGCGGTCCCTGGCAGGTTCCCTCACTGATGCCCAAACTCCAGGGGTCGGTGCTCTAAGAACGCGCTCCAATCGAGATCGATTGACAGCAGGTCCCAACATCGCCCGGAGATGCACCCCACGAGGCTTCAAGATAGCTCCACGGTGGCCCAACACAGCCCCGAAAGGGCTCGTGGGAACCATGATTTATCGATTTCGCTTTGGTGTTTGAAAGCTTTGGCGCTGCCGCGTCTTCAGTCCTCTGGCCGCCCAAGACGGCCCAACAAGCTCACCATATCCCCTTAAGTTTAGGTCGGGCGTCCCCCGACAGGCGGATTTTTAATGAAAAATCAAAAACACTTATTTTTATATAAAGAGAGAACAAATGGTAGAACTGATCGCCTCCAGGTTATTCTGTTACTATTTTCGGATATTCCCCCTGTAGAGGGACAGGCCCTAATTAACCTTAAGTCAGCCCAAGAGGCTCCCACGACGGCCCCACGAGTGCCCCAGGGCGGCCACCAAGCAGGCATCAGAGCCACCAAGAGGGCCCCAAGAAGGGGAACCCGAACTGAGACTTCAAGTCCTTGCCCCCCGAGATTGCCAGAAAGCCCCCACGAGACTCTCAGAGGCCCCATATAGCCGTTTCCCGATCCAAATTTGAGTGTCGACTGGGAATATCCTGGGCAGGACTGCTTACACACCAATCCGTGGCCCAACAACGGCCTGGCCAGGTTTGTTGTAGATGTAGTTGACGCCGTCCCGACCTCTGCTACGCACGCGTCGTGCCAAAGTCCGAGCCGCGCATGCCGTCGGGCTGCCGCTGCGGGGGAGCCCGATTGTGAACCAAACGCCCGCCCGAAACTCTTAGACCCAAGCTGCTTGAGCCAAGGTTGGAACGGACGGCCGACGATGAGAAGACGGAAGAAGACTAGGACCTAAGTCGGGCGTGTTCCCCTACAGGGGGGGTTTCGACGAAAAATAAAACATACCCCAAAAATACCCCAAAAAGGTCAGCAAATACGCGAAAAATAGTCCCCATACTATTTTTGGACTATTTTTTGTTGATTATGTTGGGGGTATTTTTCATTTCTCGTCGAACAAAAATCCTCTGTCGGGGGACAAGCCCGACTTACGACTGGGAAGGAGGCGGAGGAGGGAGACCATGGGAAGGAAGACTGTGCCGGCGCCGCGGCCGCTCCACGATGCTCCGAGGCGCGCTCAGACGCCGTGCCGCCTGCACGCTGGGGCGCGTTCGGGTGCCTCCCAGCTGCCCGAGGCATTCGTTTACTTCCAACGCCGGCCCGCCCTCGCGTGCCCCGCCCGCCCCCTACAGGGGGATTGCCGACGAAAGAAAAAGACGTACCCCAAAAATGCCCCCAAAAAGGTCAGACCATACTCAAAAAATAGTCCCCAGACTATTTTTGGACTATTTCCCTACCTAGGCTCTGCCTAGAAGGGTTCTTACTCTGAGGCTTAAAGGGCCGGGCAGTGGAATCCGCCCCGGGCGGTTATCCCGGCATCCGCCCCGCGGTTCCCCCAGTGACGTTCCCCTAGCTTCGCGATGCTTATCTCATCTTAGCTTAGCTTATTTCATCTACCTTAGCTTAGCTTCATCTTGCCTCAGTTTTATCTTAGCTTAGCTTACCTTCATCTTAGCTTCGCTGAGTTTTAGCATAGCGGAGCACAGCATAGCATAGCGTAGCTTAGCATAGCGCAGCATCGCATATCATAGCATGGGTGTAATTTCCGACCTAGGCTCTGCTTAGAGGGTTAGCTTAGCTTTGTTTAGCTTAGTTTAGCTTAGCATCGCGCAGCGCTGCATTAGCATAACATAGCATAGCATAACATAGCCAAACATAGCATAGCATACCGCAGCATAGCATAGTATAGGATAGCATCGCATAGCGCAGCTGAACATAACATAGCTAAGCTTAAAGGGCTGGGCAGTGGGGCTCGCCCCGGGCGGTTTCCCCGGCATCCGCCCCGCTGTTCCCCCAGTGACGTTCCCTTAGCGTCGCGTTGCTTATCTCATCTTAGCTTAGCTCATTTCATCTTACCTTAGCTTAGCTTCATCTTGCCTCAGCTTTATCTTAGCTTAGCTTACCTTCATCATAGCTTCGCTGAGCTTTAGCATAGCAGAGCACATCATAGCATAGCATAGCGTAGCATAGCGCAGCACAGCATATCATAGCCCAGCATAGCATAGCATAGCGCAGCATAAAATATCATAGGATTGCATAGCGCAGCACAGCATAGCATAGCACGGCGCAGCATAGCATAGCATAGCAGAGCAGAGCAGAGCATAACATAACATAGCATAGCATAGCATAGCGCAGCTTGGCATAACAAAGCATAGCTTAGCATAGCACAGCGCAGCATGACATATCATAACTTAGCTTAGCATAGCATAGCGCAGCATAGCATAGCATAGCATAGCATAGCGCAGCATAGCATGGCATAGCATAGCATAGCATAGCAACTAATGCTGCTTTCCTAGGGGCTCCAATTTCTAGGTAGGGTCGCACTGGGGTAATTTTGACTAGTTTTGAAATGTTTCTCATTTCTCGTCGAAAATCCCTCTGTACGGGGACAGGCCCGACTTAACCCTACACCCCTGATGACCCGTACCGGTTACCATTGTGTCGCCTCGGCTCCCGACCTTGAACGTAGCCCTTGCAGACGGAACCATGGCCTCCCCAGGCGCCTCAAGAGAGGACAAGGGAGCTTCAAGTGCCTTCAACACGGCCCTCATAGACTGCGCACGACGACCCAAACACACTAAAACACGTGACGCTTTTCATTGCGTTCCTTCCCAACATATTCGGTCTACGATTGTCTGAGTTCTAGACGTAAACTGCCAGTGCCCTCCGTGCACACAGAGAAGCACCAGCGACAGCGGAAGCGTGACAGGAACACCAGCGAAAGCTGACGACTTAAACGGCCAAGTGGGCCAAGTGGGCCAAGTGGACCACCAGCGAGGAGTATGGACAAGTGGGCCAAGAGAAACAATGCGCCGTGCTGGTCGCGCCGTGATCGCACGACCGCCAGCCGGGCGCGTGCCGCCAGGACTTCTCCTGCTCGGGCGGGGGGGTAGCAGATGGGGGGTCAGCGAATCCGCTCACGGGATGCACCAATGCGTATCGGGGATGGACAGACCTCCCTTTAGTAAAACGTGGTTTAGTGAAAACGACCTGAGACCCAAACCTGGCAGGCGCAGGCCTGGGAGATAACGGCCACGGCGCCCTCTCGAGAACCGAAAACGGACAATTCACTAATCGACGTGTCACTGTTGGGGGTTCTGTCCACCCCCGAGCGTATACATCTAGGACAGGCGCGCCATCCGGCGGGGCCGGAGCAGGAGGCACGCAGCAGAGTTCGGACCCACCCCCTCCCCTACCCTCACCCTCTCGCCCGACCATGAGCTTGCCCCACCTGCGATGGCTCGCCGTGTCGTTGCACGGCAGGGCCGCCACCGCCGTCACTCGGCGTGCGCGACGCCGCGTAAGTCTTGAGGCGGGATCAGCCAGCGGGCGACCATTACCATTCTGTCAGCCAGCGTGTAGAGAGCGGCGATGGTGTCTTTGCCGACTCTCAGGCTCTCTCGTGAAACCGCACGCGTTGCGCACACCGAGCCAGCATCATCAAAGTGTGATGAGACTCCCGCCTAAGGAGCATGTTCTTCAGATGTCCCTAATTAGGCGCAGCGTAACACGAGTGTGCGGAAGGAAGACGAGGAGGAGAATGAGGGAAGGGCAGGCGGACACGCAAGGATTGTCACAGACGGGGAGGCCTTCAGAACTCTTCCTGGAGGGCCCTCCGCATGGGAGCCGATCCTCGAGCTGCCTGAGACGTGGAGCGGAAGAGATCAGCACTCGCACCGCACTTGCTCCTCAGCCCGTCTCTCACAAACCCCACAGCTTCCTAATGCAAGGGATCCTTCAGATCACGAGCTCAGCCCGTGGAACGCCTGAAGAAACACCGCCGCAATAAACACACACCGGCGAATCCGTGCGTGCGGCACCTCAATACACAAATGACCTGATGGTGCCACACGCCTGATGTTGGATTGGTATGCGTGCGCATACGCGGAGGAGGGAGAAACATAATTGCACACAGGAAGAGAGAGAGAGAGAGAGAGAGCGAGCGAGAGAGAGAGAGAGAGAGAGCGAGAGAAAGAGAGAGCGAGAGAGAGAGAGAGCGAGAGAGAGAGAGAGACTGGACAACCTCCTACGGCGCTCACTGCTCGATGGGCTCCACCGCCGAGGCGGGCGCGGGAGGAGGAGAGCCGCCCCGCGGCCTCTTCCGCGGCCCCGCGCGCGTGCGGCCCAGGGGCCCGCGCCCGAAGATCGCCGGGAGAACGGCCGGCTCCGGGGGGCGCGCGTGCTCTCCGAGCGCGCGCGGCCGCCAGCGGCGGCGGAGGAAGCCCGGGCACCCGCAGCGTGCTGCTCCCGGAAACAATCTCGAGCGCCCGGGAAGATTGGGCGCCCGAATTATCCGGGGTAACTCGGGTCCGGGGTAACTCGGGTTTGGACTCCCGAAAAAGGAACCCGAGTTAGCCCTGACCCGAGTTACCCCTGATGATGTGGGGCTCTGGACGCCCGAATTATCCGGGGTAACTCGGGTCCGGGGTAACTCGGGTTCGGATTCCCGAAAACGAACCCGAGTTAACCCTGACCCGAATTACCCCTGATGATTTGGGGCTCTGAAAGATGTCGAATCGGTGTCGAAGCCGGGTCAGACGAGCGTCTCCCGGGGCTTCCACGCGTGGAAGCCCTCGGGCTTCGGTCCTTGCCGGGCGCTCGAGGTTCTTTCGAGGCCGAAGCAGGTTGGAGCAGCATGACGCTCGCAGCAAAGAGCGCGGGAGGCCTGGCCCTCCATGCCCGCAGCAGTCGCACTGGCCACCGAGCGTGCTGTGGCCTCCTGGGCGCCGTGCCCGCAGCTGGACGCGGGATCCGCATGCCCACGTGGCGGAGGCGCCCTTGCAGCGAGCAGCGCGTGCCATCTGGCAGCGAGCCAAAGCACTTTTGGAAGGTTTCATGAACAAGAGTAATGCGGGATGACGATTAATAACAAAAATGGAAGAGAACGATTAAACACATAGTTTCTACTATTTCTGCACAATTTCTGACTGGAGGAGAACGATGAAAACATAGTTTTCCAGCCCGCGGCCGGCTTTTTCGAATCGTCATCCCGGGCGCCGCCGCGTGAACACGACCCCCGGGCATTTATTAATCGTCATCCTCCATTAGGAGCAAGAGCGAAGCGGAAGCGAGTCGTTCGGAGCCGACGCGCCCCACCCCCACGCCCGTGGCACGGGAAAAGCCAGAGAGGGAGAGGGCGAGAGAGAGAGAGAGAGTGCACGAGCACGCACGCGACGGGTGGCCCGGTGCGGCATGCAGCGTCTGCCCACACATCCTGCACGAACAGCGGAGGTCAGAGTTGCAGCTGCGTGCCCAGCGGCGTCGGCTGCGCCGCGGCGGTGCCATCTGTGTGCCGTCTTGGCACCCGCAACGCGTTCTCGGGCAACGAGGGTGAGCTCAAGGCGCCCATGCCTGTCACGGGTGAGCTGACGTAGGGGCTGCCGGCCTGCCTCACCTCCACCAGCCCCTCGAACTTCTGGAGCTCCGGGCCAGCCAGAGTGCCTGCGGCGGCGAGCCCCTTTGCACCGGGCGACCTCTTGCCCCCGCCGTCAGAACTCTTGCTGCGTATGTACGCACCCTGAGACCCTTCAGTTTAGCGATCTGGCCCTCGAGCGTCTCCATGGCGACTGGGGAGGCGAGGACTACTGAACCGAAGGACTTCGGTGCCCTGGCATACCGACATCCATCAGTTCGGTGACCCTCGCCTCCCCATTCGCCGTGGAGACGCTCAAGGGCCAGATCGCTGAGCTGAAGGATCTCAGGGGGCGTTGTATGGTCTCCAGCACCGCCGTCTCCGTCGCCGCGCCCACAATCCGACCCAGCACGGCGCACAGCTGGTCGCTGACCTGCTGCACCGAGGGCCGCAAGGCCTGCCCCGCCTGGGTGCACTGCTGCACCACCTGCTGGCAGGCCCGCGCGAGCTCGTCGACGTGCGTGGGCCACCCGAGGCTGGGGGGCTGGCCGCGGCGGAGCTGGCTCAGTATCTGCTTCTTGCTCCTGCCATCGAAGGGCAGGCTCCCCGTCACGATGAAGTACACCATCAGCCCGAACGAGTAGCAGTCGGCGGCCGCATCGGGGGGGATCGGGGCAGCGACCAGCTCTGGCGCCATCCACCGCAGAGTGCCGCCCAGAGGCTTGGCACTCCGCGTGACGATCCGCGAGAGGCCGAAGTCCAGCAGCTTGGCGCGGTACGATCTCCGCCCGCTCCTGCTGCACCGCTCCTCCACGAACACGTTGGAGTCCTTCAGGTCGCCGTGCACGACGACGGGCTGCCGCGAGTGCAGGTAGCGCAGCACGTTCAGGATGTCGAAGACGACGTGGGCCCGCGCGGAGGCGTCGCTGGTCTGCGCCCCGGCCTCTGGAGCCCCGCGGCGGGCCTCCGTGGCCTGCTCGGGGTCCCGAGACAGGCCGCGGATGAACGCGCGGAGGGGCAGGCCGTCCACATACTCGAGCACCAGGCACAACTTCCCCGTGGCCACGTTCATGGAAGCCCCGTAGAAGAACGCGACGTTGGGGTGGCGAACGCGCCGGAGGATCCTCAGCTCGTTGCAGAGCTCGGGCACACCGCCCTTTCTGCTCAGGTCCTCCTTCGGGGCCTTCACCGCCACGAGGGTGTTGTGGTACTGGCCTAGCACGACGATGCCGAAGCTACCCTCGCCGAGGACCACGTCTTGGAAGAGCTCCACCTCGTCGCTGGCGACGAGCCACTGCTCCCTCTGGCCAATAGCGCGGATCTGATTCAGCGATGCGTGCTCTAGGCTGCCGTCGAAGACCCCTCCGCTCGTGGTTGTCACCAAGGTCGCTGGGAATGATGGCGCGGCGGACAACCCGTCCTCCGGCCTCACGGCCTCGCCGCTGTCGACCTGGCGAGTCCTCTCGGACAACTGGAACTCGGCCTTGAAGCGCATCTCCTTCTCCGCCAGCAAGCCCGCGAACAACGCACGCTCCTGCCTCTCGAGGGCCCGCTTTCCGATGCCCGCCATCACCGTGAGCGCCAGGAGCCCGATGACATTGTGCGGCACGACACTCATGGTCGGGCTGCCGAGCAGCAGCGCGGGAACGGTGTAGGCCAGGACGGCGGCCACCTCCATGGGGACGAGGACTACCCATCGGATGGGCATCGGCAAATGCAGCGCGGTGACTACGCAGTCGATGTACAGCACGACGCTGCCGTCGGTGGCGCCCAAATCCACGCCCCATATGGCCTCCGCGTCGTCGTAGCCGAACAGTCGCGCCACGTAGTGCTTCGAATTGATCACAGTGACAATCATGAGGGGGATGCACGCAGACACGACAATAGCCTCCAGTGCGAAGACGCTGACACGATGGTACTTGGCCAGCAATCTCCCAGAGCCAATGGCCAGGATTACGGACACGGTCGTGACCGTCTGGATGACCATCTGCCACCTGCTGAGCTCCCGGGCCTCCGTCGTGGCGTGCTGGGAGCAGTCCCAGAACCTGTGGCCAGCCAGGCTCGTCAACAGGCCTACGGTTGTAAGGACGACCATCGCCACCCCCACATGGGCGCACAGCTGTGCCTCATGGGTGCGCGTGTACCCCGCCTCCTGCATTGGCTCTACGAACCTCAGCGTGTATCGATCGATGCCATTCTCGAACCTCGGCTGCCTGCACGCACCCCACAGTCTGCCGCAGCACGCCGTCCCTCCGCGCACCTCGCCAAGTGAAGCGGCCATGGACGTCCACAAGTGAGCCACTGCGGAACTCGCCGAGGCAAGGCGGCCGCTACACGAGCCCGTCGGCCCTGGGCTGGCTTGGGCCTGTAAATGGTTGCGAAAAAGCCTCTGGGGAGCAGCATGCGGCCCCCCTGGGGGCCTTTCGGCAACTCGTTCGGGGCATGCTGCGGCATACCGTGACCTTGGTGCGGTCTGCGACATGCCTGAGGCCCCCCTGAGTGTCCCAGAATCGATGTTGCAAGAACCCGCCGCTTCCAAACAATCGCTTTCGTGGTCGGAGTCCGAGTCGGACAGGACCGTCCAAATCTGCCGATGCCTCAATGGGGGCGCCATAACAATTGCGCCACAGCTTGCGCCAGACACCTCGCAGGGAAACCAAATCATGCGATGCCCGAGTGGATGTGTCACAGGCTTCGTCATATGGTGCCCCAGACTCCCCGCGGGCGACGAAATCGACCGATCTCTTCTGGGTCTGTCATAGACTGTGCCATCCATTGCTCCATGCCCCCTTCCCCACGGGGCCACCGAATCACGTGTTGCCTCAACGGGTGTGCCGCAGGCTGCGCCGGACAATCCGCGGGCAACCAAATCGTTCGATGCCCGAGCCTATGTGAAACAGGTTGCGGCACACGTTGCGCAAGAGGCCGCGAGGTCAAACAGATCGCCTCTAAGATTGCAGAGCGACCTCGTACATTCGCTGTTTAAATGAAACTGGGGAAACCAAGAAGTACCAATACCGCTGCTCCCCAGACATCTCCTGTGGTACGTTCTGACAAGAATTTTGAAGCGAATCCAGCGGTGGCGACGAGGGCCTCCCAGCAGGCCCCAAAAGGGGAAAACGAGCCAAAGATAACTGTGCGCGTACCCTTTCTTCCTGTGGGGAACCGTCTGTTGACCCAACAAATCTGCCACTGGCTGCGCCGTAAACTGCGCTAGACACCCAGCCGGCAACAAAGAAAGTCCGTTGCACCAGCGAGTCTGCCGCAGGTTGCGCCTTCTGTTGCGGCAGGCACGCCGAGGGCAACCCCATCGTCCGTTAGCCAGAAGCCGTGCACCTTCTGAAATTATACAGACCCCTCGCAGCACTCGCGATTGACATACACAAAGAAGACGTGTGGTACCTGTGAATAAGCCGACGCCGAATTCGTATGATCTGCCCGCTGTAAAAGGTTGGTTTCTGTCAAGGGGGGGGGAACTAATCGAGAACTTCCGATCTGCGGTCTGACGGTCGGACTCCTGGCAGCGGGACAGAAACTAAGTCGCCGTTCTGCTGCACAACCCTCTGTGAACATTTACACGCGCTTCGCGCGCGCTCAATGTCCAGCTGGGAGCAGCAGCCTACAGTCAAAGTCTTGCCACAAGGATCCTTGGATAAGGAACGAACCCCCCATGTTGTACCAAATTTACTCCTTGTGCGACATGCACCATAAAGAAAACATTGGACTAATCCGCGGGACGTCGAGCTCCTTCCGGAACCAAGACGAACGTTGTTCCACAACTGTTCCATGGTACTGCACCGCAAAGCTACACTGGAAAGTTCACTTCGGCGCTCTATGTCGCCAGCGCGGAGCCACAAGCGGCCAGAAACCACACACTCTCCACAAACAAATGCCCGCTCTGAGCCAGCCGTTCTTGCTCGCTTCCTGGGCTGAGGGGCAATGACAGGATGGAACTGGCCTTTGTGGGCCCTGGAAACGACAGGGCCGTTTTTTTACCGGTTCCGTTTTGCAGTTTTTTTGCCGGTTCCAACGCCGTTTTTTACCGGTTCCGTCGCCGTTGTTTGACCGGTTCCGGCTCCGGTTCCAATCCTGGAGCCGTTGGTTTGCCGTTTCCCGTCGCCGCTTTTTTGCCGCTTCCATCTTCCAGGGTATTTTTTTTTGGAAACGGTGAAAAAACGGCCCTGCCGTTTCCGGGGCCCACAAGGGGACTGGCACAGGGGCAGAAGCACCGACGTGGAATCGGCGATACGTCGCCGATCCATCGGCGATAGGCCCCCGGCGGCGAAACCGCACGCTCCTGGGGCGGGGTGGGCTACATCGGGCCCTCATCGGCGATCGCTAGGCGATGGGGGGTCGATGCATCCCCCCCAGAGCCTGTGCCCCCCTATCGTTGGCTGCCCCCAGTACGCCAAGTCGGCCGCTCCAGGACGGAATCCCATGGTCGGTGCGCAACGGTTGGTGCCCCATGGTTCGCCCTCGGCCGCGGT